CACACAGACACACACACAGAAACTTACTGTGTTTTTCTGTGCCACCATGTCCTGTAAGGAGATAAAAAAAGAATGTGAGAATGGATTTCAAGTTTGGAAAGAAGAGCTACTTGTGTATTTTTGTGTACTCTTGAGTTATACAGCCATTTCAAACAGCTGTTTCCCCCTGGCAGTACAGCGCAGGACTGACACACTGTACCGTGCACACACACACTGACCAATATACACACACAAACACACACTAGTCTGTAAATAACCTAGCAGATCACTTTGTTCTAAGGAGGTGCGAAGGAATGGCATCTATGAACTGCAAATACACCGACAGCAGCTTCAAATAAGTGCATGTGTGTGTGAATTTGTGTGTACCTTCAGTGACTGGGCAGTGTCAGGGTCAGTGTCGTGGTACAGGATGACGTTGTTAGCCATGTCAAAGTTTCCCGTTACGCCAGATGGGTAAAACAAGGAGGGCTGTCGGAACACATCGCTCATGTCTACGCACCGCGATGTCTGGAAGGGAGGAAGGCGAGATGCCCGTAATGGGGGTGACAAAAAATACAACATATCCAAAGCTAATGCCATTAAATTGTGAATACAGTTCAATTTCTTAGTACAATATGCAGATGTGACCTTCCTCCAACATGGACTCGGGACTGAAAACCCATGCTGGTAAATCCATCAGCTCTTGAGTTAAATACACTCTGATCCTCATTAAAAGCTTGAATGTTTTCAGGAAGCATTAAAATGTTCCACTAAACCACTAGACCTGTCATTTCTTTTGTTGAAGTTGTGCACTTACATTTATCCCAAATGTTTCCAGCAATGTTTCGTTGCAAAGTTATCGTGCGTTTCCCCCAGGTTGCATTGTTCAATATCCCCTTCTGCGCATGCGTCAGCATTGTGGGTTCGCTCCAGAAGCTGTCATAAACTGACTTTTTATCCAGTTTTTAGGCCACATTTTGCGATAAACTTTTGTTGATCCTTGGTCGTTTTCTTAACTAATATAATATCTAAACCAGACGTCTGAATTCTAGTCATAAGAGAAACAAGCTGAGCTAACGTTAGCAGCAGCTCAGCTTGCAGCCCCTCCTTCCATCCTTTGTCTATCGGAAAGCATTGGAGAAACACAGATTTTTAAGATGAAACTGCTTTATTCAGTGTTTTCACCAGTTTTAATCACCAGGTATGTTTGTTTTGAAGAGAAAGAGGACCCTGCACATAATTCAGCTCCCAGTAAAAACCTTCTAAACAATGAACACTGAAAAAATCCTAACTGACAGAAGCCGGCTGCAATGGTGTTGAAGACAACAACTCCCATGATCTCACGCTACTTTATTGTTATTGCTTTCATGTGAGAGTTCCCTAGCAGCAGAAATTACATATTGCATGTTTAGGTGATTTTGACACGTTAAAACAACAAAAAGACAGTTGGAAGCTCTTCACTAACAAAATGTGAAATCCTATATAATGCTCTCTGATCCACATGACCCTATATGAACACACATATGAACATAGCCAAGAGTACAGTATATGAAGACTAGCAAGGAGCTTCTGTTGTTTCTCCCTGGAGTAGTGGAGCCCTTTGTTTCCCAATGCATTGTACATGGATTAAAAGGATGTGTGGGTGTAATCCCTCCCTGAAGAGAAAGAACACTCAGCATAGAGGCCTCAAGCATACCAAAGAAAACAAGAATGGACTAGTATGCAAACAAGAAGAACCACATTTTTTACTGTGGCAGCTTTCATATACTGGCAATATACCTGCAGTCCAGTTCTACTGACCTTATAGTGTGCATAAATTAAATTTTACTTGTTGAGCTCTGGCTACTTCATTGTTATGAAGATCCTGACTGAAACAGCAAAGAAAATAGTTGGTGTAAAAGGCAGTGCAAACTTAGTTGTGCTAGTATTTGGTCATAAAGAACAAAGTTACATTTTCCCTCTGGGGATCATGAATGTCTTCACAATCTGTCTAATAGTTTTCAACACGTCTCACAGTAAAAACCACAAATATCAGCCTCATTGTGGCGCAACAGGAACAGTCAAGATCACTGATCACCAAAGTCACTGAGATTATTACTGTAGTTACTGAGATTTTTCAGTCTGGAGCACAGTGGTGGACCATCCCTGGAGCCACACCACTGCATGGCTAATGAAAATACATTAGAGATTAGTGGATCTGACTGTCAGATGTGTGATTAAGGGTTCATGTTCGACTGTACACTGTGTATACATGGGCTTCTTTCACAGAAGACTCTCTAACATGTCATGGCAGGAAATGTGAATGTGGGAAAGTGATACTGAGCCTTCAAGTCAAATGCTTTGACCCTTGCCTTAAATCAAAACTACTACCAAAACATATCGTACCATACTGTAAACCTTTCTAAAAGACAAATGGAAGAGACGTTGGGCCTCTTTGGCTCCCTCCACTGAGATTTTTACTCAACTAATGAGATGTCTCATTCATTGTATTAGCCATAAATAAACACCACATGAAGAGTGAGTATCGTCGGTTAGAACATTAATCAAAGAGCACCAGAGAGCATCATTAAATCTTTTTATCATGTAATGCATTAATGTACGGCACTTCCATGGCTTCTGGTGTTTTTAATGTTTGTGCATTTATCCTGGAAATACTTAATGTCACCCACAAATGTAATATATGTAAGTGTATTCTCCAACCACGCACTTTTGTACCCTCTAATATATAGCTACAGGCAAAGAATTGTGGCAATCTTTCTGTAGTCTAACAACATTAACTGGTGTTTATTGTTCATACATGGCATAGGTTGATTTGAATGCTTAAATTGCTTAAACATTGGCAGCAGTAAAGGCTTATTGTTTTCAGGTTTTCAACAAGGCCTTTTCAATCAGATTATCTTCCTTTTTAATAAAACATTCTCAGACAATCCTTACCACTACTGTAATTCTCTCTCACCAGAATACATAAAGGGAAACATGGTCAATTCTGCTTTAAATATCTCGGAAAGTCTCACTCAAATTAGTTAATTTAATAACTATATTTTGTCTAACACACAGTAGAAACTAGAAAGATTATGTTGTGTGAGTGTATTAATGTGCGCTGCAGCATAGCAAAATAGCAAAATGTAGGCCCAGTGGAGAGCAAAGTAGGCAATGTTTACCACTGGACTGTAGTAAAGTAGAAGTATGGTATGACATAAAAAGGAAATACTTAAACTACCTCAAAATTGCACAAGCGGCACAGCAGGCTATGAGTAAATACTTTAACAATTTCAGTTATTATTTCAACATGTAGGACTTCCTCCATGGTGTTGAAACAACTTTTGTTGAAAAACTTCCAGTTTTAACCTGGAAAACCTTATATTTTGACCTGCAAATGACCAAAAACTTGTTGTTTTCACTGACACACACCTGCATCGTAGAAACTGTCCAGCACCGATGTTTCTCCAAAGTCCAGCCTCCCGAAGGTAACGGTTGTGAGCAGTGCGCTCTCCGCGTCGCAGGCTCTCTGCAGGCACTGCAGCGCTCCGGACTCCGGGCTGCTGGCCATCACCGACTTCAGCCCGTCGTTCAGGACGTACACCACCCGCAGAGAGCGCTGTTTGGCTGGCGGGCAAGGGCTGGACACCTCGCCCCTCTCCCGGTCCCTGTCCCGCTCCAAGACGCACACACCGGCGGAGTGCTCCCCTCCCATGTCGGCCGCCTGCGCGCTCTGCCCAGAGTCCATAGCGAGAACCAGGGACGTGTTTCTGCTTTATCTCCTTCCTTCTCCGGTGACTTTCCACCTCTCCCTCCTGTTACTTCCTTTATTCTGTCTACTCCTCCGTCTCGTCCTCCTCTCACTCACTTGTTGCTCACCTGTCCTCGCTGGAGCGGAGCGCGTCTGAGTTTGTGCCCCCGCATCTCCGCCTCATTAACTTACATCATCTGCCGATTATCTCGCACCAAGAAGTCCGCTTCACTCAGACTGGATCCGACTAGATCCGCGAGAGAGAGGATGAAATGTGGAGAGAGGTGAATAGAAACATCCAGAAGTTAAATTACTCCTTTTGGCTCTCGTCCCCAGTCTGGTTTGAATACGTTTCCAATGGAGGGAGATTGTTTATAGTGCAGGATACAATCAGGACTTTGCTGTCCACCGTCTGAAATTTTATCGCCTCTCTGGTTGTCTAAATATAAACGGTGTGGATCTCCTTGTCCCCTCCTCGACTGCAACCAAGTTACTCTGTTATGTTCATCTCAAACATATTTGTACAGCACTGATATGATTTAATTTTTTTTCTCCTCAAATGTGTCTGTATTGATGGCCATATGTGTCCTGTCATTTTGTATTTACACTTACACTTAAAAAGTGGCTTACAAGTACAAAAAAGGCTTACAAGTTTCTCTGCTCAATGTCAGATTTTGACAGCTAAATAAAATTAAAAAAAATAAATAAATAAAGATTCCTTATAAGTCACCTAAAAAGGTAACATTGTTGCAGCACAGTCTTTCCAAGAACTAGTGAATACTGGTCTGAACTTCTGCCAAGAACCATCTTTCACAATCTAAGGGGACAGGTCCCTGTGTCCCTAAAATTGGGTCAGAGCTACTGGTCCTTCCTGGAAACCTACTAAAGGGGTTTTAATGCTATAAGAACCTGCCTGGACTGTCATTATTATAATTTTTCATGTAAAATGATCATCTTTTATGTAAAAAATAAAAATAAAAAATGCTCCACTGAGCTCCTAATTTGCAAAGTGAGGGAAATAAGTATAATATGTACTGTAATTGTCTAAATTAATTAGCTTAGATACATAATTAGATTGTTTTGTTATTATAGCTGAGTGTAAAAAATAATGCTGTATCTCATGTTTTGCATAAGGGTTGAATATGGTTACATCATTGCATGTCCAATAGCAGTGTGTGCACAGACAAAAGCAGTTCTTATAACTAACATACAGAATGGAGCTTTTATAGCTAAAATAGAGCAAACTAATCAGATTGGTCCTTCCAGCTGCTTTGACATCAACAAATCTAAAACATCCTTAAAAGAAAGCAACATATTTTTGGAAAGTACTAGTAAAAAATGCCAATGAGAAAGCAGGATTGTTCTATGTTCTTTGGCTCTAATTGGTTGTTTTATTGATTGTCGTTTGTTCCACTAATCATGCACAGCTCAGGTGATGCCAGATGGCACAGCTCTAATTATTAATTAAGAGAGTATTAGTGTAACAGTAGACCCCTACCATGTTCAGGCAGAGAAAAGTAAATATTAGATAGTTTAGTTCTGGGACTCTAGTTGCCTGATTTTGTTGGTGTGCTGTCTATTGTGTGCATACAAGAAAAGTAACAAATAATCTTAATGATCTAGATAAAGTTGAAGAAAAGCTGCTAATTTAGGTTAAAAAGGATGTTGTAAGCTTTTGGATGCCTCTAAATTGCTTTTAAAAATGTTAAAAATGGAGCGCCTGGTTAGTTCAGTCAGTAGAGCTGGCGATCCATATACAGAGTTGCTGCAGCGGCCTGGGTTCGAATCCAACCTGCGGGTCATCCCCTCCTCCCCATCTCCACCCACCTTTCCTGTCTCTCTACAGCTGTCTCTATAAAAAAGGCCAAAAAAATAACTAAAAGTATTTAATACAGTGCATAAGTGAATTTGTGGAACCAATTAAAACTTGGTGTGCATGTAACCTAAATGTGGAGTTAAATACTATATTTTTATTAGGATATAAAGGATATAATTTCTTCCATACATGTGTGAAGGCCTATTATTAATTGCTGGTGTTTCATATGCTGTATATTCTCTGCAGTCACCCACTATCATTACACGCCCTCAGTAAATGGCAACCATAAAGAAGAAGTTCAAGTGGAAGTGTGTGATTTAAAACCTCAACTAAGAACTATGACAGC